GTACAACTACGCAATTTTAAATTCAGTCTTCCCCTAGGTCTGGGTGCCTCCTACGAACCCGTGAATATTTTGGCGGGGAAAATTATCTTGGGGACCACAAAAGCTGATGAGCTGAAATTTCAAGGCACTGTTGCCCGCCCATGTGCGACCCCACAAATTCAAATTTGACCTTTGCGTACACCTGGGTCTTAATGTCCCTTTGAATGTTTTGGCGAGAAAAATTGTTACCTGGAAGCCAAAAGCGAGAAGAGGCTGGGAATTTCAGGAGGATGTTTTCTGGCTGTCCGGAGGCCACACAAACTCAAATTTAGTTCTGAAGTATGCCGAGGTTTCGCGTACGACCACGTAAAAATTCTGGCGTGAAAATCACTCAAAAGCCAAATAATCAGGATGTTAATTTTGAAAGGATGTTCACCGTCCAAGATTTTAGTGGGAAACTTCGCAACTTAGGAACCGGAAAACATTTTAACTATTTATGTAAAGAACAAAATGCGGAGTAGTGAAAATCCTTAGTAGGCAAATGTTGCGCAAAACGCATGATCGTATCGACTTCCCTCGTTCGTACTAACATTGAAAATGAACGCCAGATCACCGACCAAGTAGAAATGGGCATGCATGGGTTTGTATCACGTAGGGTTTATATCACAGTCACACATCAATGTTCAAACAGTCTGGGACTTTTTAACATTTCTATAAATTCTACTAACATGCTTTTTAATATAGTTCATAAGATTAGGCTTGGACAATACATGAATGAGTATATGTGTTCTTTGTCACTAAGTATGTTTTTTGATTTGATTTTTATACAACAGGTCTCGATACGGCTCAGATGGGCGTTTAACAGAGGAAAACGATATGCTGCGAAAGTTGATTGATGAAGCTGGTACAAAACTTGTCGCCTACAGTGAGGAGGTGTAATTTCGGATGTTTTAAGTTAAAATTGACATGTCCAAAGTGGGCAGTAAATGTGTGTTTTTACTTTAGGCGTTTCTGGGCTTGAAGGGATTTATTATTACAGTATATTAAAACCGAAGCCAAGTGATAACCTCCTTCATTGCTTACTGTTCTTAAGAGACGAAGGCATGTGGGTGTGGCCCAAGTGGTAGCACGTGCCAGCTGTAACAACTTAGTGGTAGGGATCGCTCTCGCCATCCGGTTACCGATGCAGCCCCACTGGCCATCCTGAATGGCGCGAAGGGTACTAGAATTCTTCATTCCATGACGATGTCAATAATAAAAGTGAATTATTTTGATGCTCTGTAAGCAGTTTTTCCAAGTGTTACTGCTTTTATCCAAGCACACTGTTTTAATGATTAAATGAAATTAGTTAAAAAAAGAATTTCAGTTGTAGTTCAAAATAAATTAATAAAACCAATGGGAAGTAGTTTTTTGCAGTCGGTACTAATTTGATTTTTAGGCAACCGATGTTCCGTCAGACTTATTGCAAGGCATTGCATTATGCACGGCAGATGATGTGGTTTTGACCAATTGGCAAAGTATATGTTTTGCATGTATCCAAATAAACAGAGAAGGGAAGCTCGCAGAAGCGCTCAGCACGCAATTTATCGGATACCTGAGAACGAGGAAGATAGCGCCAGAATAGAAAAACTTCAGTAGTGCCGATACCGAAGCGAGTAGACAGCAAAGTCCATTATGCTTATTACAAATGCGCAGGGCTTTTGTGCGCGTAATTTGCAGTTGAATTGAGGCGTTTCTGGGTGAAAACTCAACAAGAGAATAAACGGGCTTTTGTGAATTTCTGCGTACAGTAGCCTACTTTCGAGAAGCGGGCCAGTATTTTTGTTCCCAGCTTACGACAGTTGCTCTCCCAGTTGAAAGAGCCACTTCAGAGACATCCTTGGGAATGCGATAAGATTGTGCAGCATGTAGTCGGTTTGGTTTTCTTGCTAGGCATGAACAAGTCCATCTTCACCCTGTGTTCTTCATAACCAGATATTACCAACAGCAGTCTCTTTCCCCTTCCATTGTTTCTTGACCATCACCACTGCGGTTCTTCTTGCTGGTGGCATACTTAAACCGTTTCTCTTTTCTCATGCCTTCACCCGACTCTGAAAATTTGAAGTGTTGATATATGCCGGCCTTAGCCTTTGTTTCGAATTTTAAAAATCAGGAATTTCCATGCAACAGCTTGTTCGTCTGTTTCAGTAGATCTTATCAACAGTCAGGCCGTGCTGCGAGGAAAAGAAAGTGATGGATTTGTATTGCTTACAGCTGCTCGTGCATCTGTAACGCATCGAATTCATTCACTTGTCTGGAAGAAATCCCAACTTTTGAGGAAGAAATCTTGGTGTGCAACGCTTTCTGGCATGCAGGTATTTTAATTTCTCAAAAGTAAGGCAGGTGAGGTATTGTACAGAGCTACCATTAGGAATGTTCTTTCTGGAGTCAAGGTAATAAGCATGTAGATGCTAGTAGTATTATTCATTTTTTCCTGAGTTCACTTGTGTGCTGGTTGTTTTTAATTGGTAGTCGCGTGTTGACGTGTAGCGCGTTTGTAATAGCACGTAGTAGCACTAAGTAAATAGTTTTTCGGTCCGTGCCATACTACGTGTTGGTGCACTGCGACTCTTTATGCTGGCAGTAGTTACAATTAACAATAAAGGGAGTAATATTAATAGTAACATTAGCGGTGACTGATGTTTACAGTAATACCATTATTACTACTACTATCGATTTGCAGCTGGCGTTTAGTGTGACTTATAGCTTCTTACTCATGTGTTTGTAACAGGCCTAGCTCTTGTTCACTTTCAGAAAAAATTTCGTTTCGCTTTCAGTCTTCTTTCATTGCTTTTCTGTACTGCTTCATTCGTAGGCCACGTCCTTCTACACCTTGGAACTTCCATTAATGACAAGAATAGTAGTGAAATTCTCC